TTGGCTAAGGTTGCACCATGGCTAGGGCGTGGAGCCGCCTTAGCCCTTCTCAGAGCATTACCACTGTTGGAGAGCCCCACAGGGCCATACTATCGCCCCAGCGCATGTGAATGACTTGCCCACAGCCTCTCCCTTTCTAAAGAGGTAGACTGTTGTCTCCCTCTCCACCTATTAGTTGGACTGACAACAGCCTCAGCTGTTGTTCCCTTGGTTTTTCACCCGGCTGCAAGGCCTCACTTGTATGGAGAGTCTCAGGGCAATAGTAGGATCAAAACGCTGCCTTCTCACTTTATCCCCAGGGAGCCCCTGTGGCATTTTTCCTGTCACAGCCGATGCCTGCCTCCAGAGGTGATGCACAATGGTGTAGAACAGGACTTTGCTCTGAACCACAGGGGCCTGCCAATGTTCAAGAGCTAGCGCTCTCCCGCTATACCGGGAGGGAAAGCAGGTGTTTGTCCGGTTGGACAACGCCTCTGCTGTGTTTTGACGACGATATCAGTTCTTACTCGGGCAGCCTTTGCCCGACCAGCTTTTGGGCAATAACCCAGCCAGGAGTGGCTACTGCATCCAGAGGTGATGCCGATCCACTGCCCCCACCGGTTCTCCCTGACTGAGAGGACCACCGCCAAGACCACAGTCAAGATGCTCTGGCTAGGCCTGTCGCGATATGCGATAAAATGACATATCGCACACTATCTGAAATCGCGTGCAAATAATTTTTGGTGCTGCGATATTCATTTGACATATAAATGAACGTCACAAACATTTAAGTTGATTGCGCTGCCTGTCCTTTTTTTCTTGAGTAAAGCGGGGCGGGGCTTAAGCAGCACACACAGATACAGAGCGGAAACGGACCAGTGCGGAGAAGCAGTGAACCCAAATAAGTGGGTTTGTGGCTGGGGAGGCACTGACTCTTTCAAAGTCAGATTCACAAATATATTAATTCAACAAAGTAGCATAAATTCATAAAATGTCTTAGCATAAGACACGTGAAGTTCCCAATTTTTTTGTCCGTTGCATAGAAACAGCCAACAAGTACGGGGGGGTTTCTGTAGGGTACTGAAATGTGATACACAACATTTGGTGTCTACAACTTGTTTTGTGCTGGAAGGCAGCTATTTACTTACTAATGTCACGGACGCAATAAGCAATAAGGATAAAAGGAAATGAAGCAATAAGGTTTGCCAACAATACCCTTGAACAGTACATTATTGACGATAAAGTACAGCCTCTCGTACTTTATTGCTTAAATGTTCTTTTGGTCTTTTATTTTTGTTATGTAAAGCAATGTGTGCATGCTCTTACCTTTACTTGTAAATTCCATTCGCCTATCCTTCTGGAAAAACATCTATGACTTTGGTGTAAAAATACTCTTTATCTTCCTTTAGTTTCTTCAGTCTCCATGTCTTAATAGACATTATTGCTCGGGGTGAAAGTCGTCTTTGATCCGATTCAGACTGTATTTTTTCAGTTTTCAAGGACTGATAATGTGCACTTGACGTTCGCTACTTGACTGTTTTAGCTAGCACATGCTAACTGCGCCACCAGTCTAATACGTGAATAAAAACCACAGCAGAAGGAGCCTGCGTGCTCACACACGCTCCCTTCAGGCAGGCAGAGGTACTGACTCTGCCTCCGCAGCAGTGACAAGCAGGAAATAAGATGCCAGTCCAGCTGCCTCCTTACCGCTTTTTAACTGCGGAGTTATGTCTGATTAGCAAGACTAACATACGTGAAATGCAGGACCCAGACTATGGGATGTGAGGACATGTGATAAAACTGTGTACAAACTTGGTGACATGTAGAGACACTTATTGAACAAGCTCAAATTGAGCAAAAACATGAGCAGCTCAACCGGGTTTATGCGGGATTGCGCAATCTGAGACAGCTCGTCGCTGCCGCCTCCCTGTATTTAAACAGGAAAATACAAATTCAAAATTGACAATCATCGGATTGATTGGAATCTAATAATTACTTTATTAGAATAATAATAATTATTTTTTTTACATTTCATGATGACACAAGGGCCTTCGCTGCCTCCAATGACCGCACGTAGTTTGTTATGAGGGTCTCTTATGAGATGGTAGGTGGCAGGATTATCGAGTTAACCATAAGGATTACAGGTACTTTAATCTCTGAAACTCTGAAATCAGGCAGGGTCCAAACCGGGATATCAGTCCAACAGGCAAACAAATCCAAAAAAGGGGCACGCAAAAATCCTAAATCAAGTAGTCAGGCAAACAGGGTCAGAAAAGGCAGATCAGGAACAGTCAGGTTATGCTGGAGAGCTTGGCAGTGACAGACAGAGGTGGCAGAGGTGGAAGAAGGTGCTGGGGATGAAGGCAGGACTCAAACGCAGAGTTTTTCGAAAACAAAAAGGGATTTTAATAGAACTGCACTGGGAAGGTGCAGGTGATTGGACACAGGTGGAAATAATCAGACAATCACAGGGGATGACGGGACAAGGCAGGAAGTGAAGTTACCCAGGGACGCAAAGGTAGAAAACTATAAAATAAGAAAGGAAACAAACCCAAACCGTGACAGAGGACAAGTGAGACTGTGGGCACCTAAATAGTGAGGGACTAATGAAGGAATGGGCTGCAGGTGGGAAGGGCATGAGCACCAGGTCAAGGGAATGAGAGTTGATCTCGTGTTGATGACAGGATCTGAAATGACAGGAGAGTTAATTGACAAGCAGTCAAGCAGTGTTGTGGAAGATTTTGCACAGACAATCGGTAAATAAGAATAAGGCTCTGAGTCAAATATGTCTTTCCCCGTTTATTTCCTTGCAAGGCAAAAAAGGTCACAACACATACATGCTCAGTAGGCTGCCAAGAACCTTCCTCCCCTCACAACTGGGCCAGGCAGTTCTTATACCTACACGTGGCCTCCAAACCAACTTGTTGTGTTTCTACAGCCATGAGATTGGCATCTTATCAGTATAATACACTCCAGCGCAATTATTTATCATGGCCACACAAATCAAGTTGAGATAAGAACTCAGGTGAAGCTGAGGGTAACACACAATGCTCCTCTGATCGAAGGTCCGTGAGAGCAAGATGACCCCCTTCCCCAAACACAGCTGCAAACCCTAAATCTTTCCATCTCTACATCTCAGGGTCAACCACTGCGACCTGGCTTTTAGCACAAGACAATTGTTTACAGAATGTTTTTACCACTACATGCATCTCACATTTGCATCACATCTCACGCTTTTAATAATCAAATTTTATCGATTTCACTCGTTGCAGCCCTACTCAGTAGAAAATTTTGATTTTAAAAGTAGTATGTAGATTACATGGTGTGAATTGTACTCAAGTTTGAGTAAAATGACACACAAAATACTAGTACCCAAAAAATCTACTTAATTACATTAACGTGAGTATTTGTAATTCGTTCTTCCACCCCTGCTGCACGGGAGTGTTGAAATGCCACATTGTCCCATACAAATTATAAATGTGATTTGTTCTCTCTGCATCCCTTTCCTCACCTAGCACAATCCTTCCTTTGAGATCATGCAGGAACGCAAGGAGACGTTCAGTGTTGTATGACCCAATTAGTGGTTTGTGTAAAAGCAGTCCATCAGTGGCTATTGAGGCGCACATTGTGATGTTGGCACCCCTCTGGCCCGGGACGTCCAATGTGGCTCTCTTCCCAATCACAGTCCTTCCTCGTTGCTATGTTTTGGCCAAGTTGAAACCCGCCTCATCCACAAAGATGAAAATGTGGGGTGATTTCCTGCTTTCAATCTCCATGACTCTAAAATAAATCCACAAGGCAACATAAGCTGTTGCAGTAGTAAACATTACCTCAAAAGTTGTCTTTGTGTGTGTTTGGTTTTGTTCAAAAACAGTTCTGTATATTATTGTGATCTTACTAGGGGGGTATTCCAGAAAGCGGGTTATGTGAAAACTCAGAGTAAGTTAACCCTGAGATCAGGGAAACTGAGTTATCTGTTCCAGATAGAGAGGTAACTCAAACTCTGAGTCAATCACCATGGTAACAGACTCTGAACATAACCTGCTCGCTGGCAGGTTTACTATATGAAACCCAGAGTTTCTACCTGTCTCCTCCCACATGAAGAAAGCTGGTAGACATGGATTGTCCATTCCTACCAAATCCAATTGACATCGAAGCAGTCGTGATTCAAAATGCTTTACGTCGCGAGAGAGTCTTCCGACCCAGATTAGACGTTTTATCATTTCCAGAGGAATTTCTGTTAGAATGCTACCGCTTTACTGGTAACTAGGAAACATATGGACGACAATTTAATTCCTACAGTTCCACATACAGATTTAACATGGTATTGACCGAAAATCTCACTGTTTCAAGCTAGAATGTGAATGGGCAGAGCACTGCCAGTAGATAATATTAAGACACACTTCAGTAGGCCCCTCTGGATCTCTCCCTGTGGCAGCAGACAGCGTTTCCTCCTCCTCATCATCATCATCATCATCCCCCTGTGATGCAGGAAAATATACTATTTCTGAATACTTTTAACTACCATCTGAGGCAAGATCTGAGTATCTGCAGCGTTTACAACTGTGCAGATGCCACCATCCACAACTGTTGGGTGGGTGGATATATATTAATTAAAAAGTAGGGTCTATATATATATACACACACTACCGTTCAAAAGTTTGGGGTCACTTAGAAATGTTCTTATTTTTCAAAGAAAATTACTTTTGTTTCAATGAAGATAACATTAAATTAATCAGAAATACACTATACATTGTTAATGTGGTAAATTACTATTCTAGGTGGAAACATCTGGTTTTTAATAAAATATCTACATCGGTGTATAGATGCCCATTTTCAGCAACTATCACTCCAGTCTTCTAATGGCACATTGTGTTTGCTAATTGTCTACATTTCCACAGATTACCACCACGTTCAGCGCTGGGCCGCATCGACCTCCCGATCCGGCTCCACGACTCAAGCCCCCGACTCCGGTACCGGCTCCACGACTCGTGCCCCCGACGCCTCCAGTCCCCACTCGACTAAGGCCCCCTTCCTCCCATCCCGTGTTCCTCTTCCACCCTCCCTTTGGTGTTCTGAGGGCCGTCTGGGATCCGGCTCTTGAGGGAGCGGTTCTGGCACGGGTTGGGCCGGCGCCCCAGTGCCCAGCTCCATGTGTCCTGCAGCCGGCGCCCCCGAGCCCGTGCCACGTGTCCTGCAGCCTGCGCTCACAAGTTACGTGATGCCAAATAAAAGAAAAGCTGCAGCTCAACTCAAAATCGGATAGGAACTTATAGGAAAAAGTCTGCTCAAGGTGTAAGGCGTTTTCAGCCTCAGCCTGCCTAAACCAACCCAAAGCAGTGTGGGAAGTGTGGCAAAACCCCTACACATGCATGGACTGAATGCTCTGCATTGCTCTGAATGTAAAAAATGTCAAAAGAGGGACACTTTGCATCTGTGTGCAGATCAGCTCAAAAGCTAGAATCCATTGGGAAGAATTATGTGGCGGCTTATTTAGGAGCTGTTGACCATCCACAGTCGTCTACATGAAATGAAATGCTTACCATAAATGGTGGCCCGTGACTGCAATTCCAGAAACAGAATACACGCAAGATAAATACGGCAGCTACAGTGACACGCTGACCTCTACTGGGCCCTGCCGGTCAACCTCTGGATGTCAAAGGGCAAGTGCATGCTGTCATTCAGAGAGGCAACAGAAAGATTGAGGGTGAGGTAGTCATCGTGAAAGATATGACCACACCCTTATTGGGCCTGCCAGCCATTCGCAGACTGCAGATGATTCCTCAGCACAATAGCATAGACAATGCAGAGACCCACTTCTGCTCAACCTACGCAGATGTCTTTACAGGGCTAGCTAAACTTGAGGAAAGACAATGCACCACCCTATTCCCTCTCTGCCGCCACGACGTGTAGCCATCCCACTCCAAGTTAAGGAGGAACTAGATTGGATGGAGAAATGGAGGTAATAGCCCGTATTGTCAGGGATGTTGCGTATGGAAAAAGGCAGGACTCAAACGCAGAGTTCGAAAACAAAAAGGACTTTAATAGTCAAAACGGGCAAAAAGCAAAAGGCCAAAAACACACACAGGAACAGGGGGCAAAAAGGCAGGCGGGAACGAGGAACATTCAGGACGATTGACAATGACACGACAAGTGACACAAGAGACACACGGCTTAAATACACTAGGGAGGTGCAGGTGATGGACACAGGTGGAAACGATCAGACAATCACAGACGATGACAGGACAAGGCAGGAGGAGAAGTTACCCAGGGAGAAAAGAAGCAGCAGACTACAAAATAAGACAGGAAATAAAACCACACCGTGACACGTATGGAAGAACCAACGGAATGGAGCACAGGCATGATCCCTATTGTGAAAACGTCCCTGACCATCTACGCATTTGTGTAGATTTAACCCATTTGTACGAGAGCGTCATCAGAGAGAGACACATCTTACCGGCAGTGGACGTGATGCTGGCCAAACTGGAGACTTCACAAAGCTTGACGCAACATCAGGCTTTTGGTAGTACCCCTCCATCAACGGAATGCTGTTGACCACGTTCATCACACCAGAGGACTGCACGACGATAGGCTGCTTGGGATGCTACATGCTGCCAAGAGACAGAGACAGAGGTTCGTTTTCTGGGCCACATCATAAACTCCCAGGGCATCAGAGCTGACCCGGACAAAATAAAGGCGATCTGTGACATGCCTGAGCCAAAGGATGTGACAGATGTTCGCCGTTTTTATGGACATGGTGAACTTTGTAGTAAAATCTTCACCACGCCTGCCCGACAAAGCCCATTCGCGATCTGTTGAAAACAGAGAACAGCTGGACATGGGGAGCACCCCAACAGAAAGCATTCCTGGACACTAAGAAAGAGTTGGGGTCAGACACTGTGTTAGCCCAATACAGCCCAGACCATGGTGTCAGCGGATGCCTCTTCGTATGGACTAGGAGGCGTCTTGACACAAAGACAGCTAGGCTGTGAGTGGAGGAGACCTGTGGTCTTCAAGTAGTTTGATCAAAGCCGAGTCAAGATATACTCAAATAGAAAAAGAGGCTTTAGCTACGACCTGGGCACGTGGATACTTGAGCGCCCTGGATTTTACCATAAGAACAGACAAGCCACTCATAACACTCAAGTGTAGAGCACTGGATGACCTTCCACCGAGGATTATCAGATTCAGAGATTCATAACACATGAGACCTGACATCCTGCAGAGACTTCACCAGGGACATCAAGGGTTCAACAAATGCCTAGCTAGGAAGAAGAGAATCAGTCTGTTGGCCAGGCATCACGTCTGCTGTAAAGCAGATGGTCAACAGATGTGAGATTTGTGCACATGAAGCTCAGACACCTGTCGAGCCTCTGCTCACGACTGACCTCCTGAGCAGACCATGGCAGAGGGTCGCAGCAGATCTTTTCCAATGGCAGAATGGGAACTATTTAGTCATGCTATATTGAGGTTCGCACCCTACCCAGAAGCTAAACAGACTATTGCAAGATGTAAAGCTGTGTTTACTAGGTATCGATGCCTGCAAGAGATTATAACTTTACACACGTGACAAGCAGCCCCCGTTATCCCTGCAGCAATGTGGAGGCTAAAAGGGCCATCAGAACTGTTAAGTCTCTCTTAGAGAAAGAGGAAGATTTCCACAAAGCTCTGCTGGCCTTCAAGGCTAGTCCCAGTGTCACCGCTGCAGCTACAACCACAGTGGCCTGATCTCAAAGAATTCAGAGAAAAGGACACTGCATTGAAACTGCAACAGCAACAAACGTTCAACCGGAGACACTCACTCAAACCCTGCAACCTCTTCAGTCTGGACAGCAGGTGTGGATAAGACACACACGCACCAGAGGGACAGTTGTGGGCCCTGCACCCACACCACGAATATAGAATATAAATATATTGGAATATGAAATGAGTTTTGAGTTTTCTTTTGTTATACACATTATCTTATCTTGTGTTTTATCAGACCTTCCATATTTTAGGCCCCGTTTTCATGACGCTGTGAGCATAATTCCTTCTATGGTGAACTTGTTGTGAACCTTACGTGGTCTGTTGATCTTTATTGTCATCATAGTTCTACATACAACTGTATTTGTGATGGCACTGGAGCTGATAATAAGTGTAATCAATGCTCACATGATCATTTCAAGCTCTTAATCAAATATACAATGAGACAATGGCGTGTTCATCTGCAAATTATGCATGTTTGTTCCAGTTTGAAAGTATCTGTTCAGTGTACAAAACCTTTGTTGGAGTTGAGTTGAGTTTGTTGTCGTTGTTATGGACACACATGCGCACACACATTGAGACCCACTGGGCCTCACAGCTTTCGGCATGAAGGCCATTACCTGTCGCTGTGTACCTCTGCAGCCAAGGCAACTTTCACACCTGCTCTCATTAGTGTCACAGTCTGACATCAGTGCAATCAGATGCTACTGTGAGACGAAACAAGGTAACATTAAGGCAAGATGCAATCGTTGCACAACAGACCAACTATTCCCTGATTGGTGTTGTTTGTTTGAGGCAATTTCTTTTTCCATGATTAAATATTTGTGATGCAACCTCTCAGAGGACCTGATCAACCCAAATGCCAAAAATGTAATATTATTATAATTGCGAGAAACAATTTTAGTTGGTAACATTAAGGCATGATGCAATCGTTGCACAATACACCAACCATTCCCATTGAACAGAGGTTGTTGTTGTTTTATGCTGAAATTGTCTCTTCTTTTAGGGTTAGAAAGTCTATAATTTCAGTGACATTAAGCACATTCTTATGTAGCCATTGAGGCCTAAACAAAGTATTAAGAATTGTTAGGACATTCTTTATTGCTCAGACATTTGAAGTTACAAAGTTATTGGGAAACAAATATTTAGCCTTTGAGTGTTTTTTCAAAGTTTAAATTTTCAGGATTTCCAAACAGCTACACATTACATGTAATTTAGCATAAGTGCATTTCAACCAAAGAACAAGAAACAAGAAAGTGCAATTTTTTTACACCTCGCCTTCCTCTTCCAATGACGATTGTTTCAGAAGAGACCAGAACGGACCAGTCCGTTCAAAGGCGCTAAACCCAGCGCTGTCCCATCAGACACCCCCTCTGGAAGATTTGACGAGGACACCATGGTTTAGAGCAGCGATTCCCAAAGTGTGGGCCGAAGGTACTCCAGGTGGGTCGCGAGAGGTCATTTACAATAAATAAATAACGTTTTTAATTTTCACGTTTGAAGTTTTAAATTAATATAAAAATATTTATGATGCGGCACATTAGTTATGTGAAAAATTAATTGATGAAGCACAAACAATTTAAACTAAGAGATTAATAAAACAATAAGGCTCTCGCTCGAAACTGCTGCTCTTGTCCGCCTGTCGTTGTTTAACAAATGGGGCGCCCTCTTGTAGTATTAAAGTAAATATACCGCATTTTCCACACTCCAAAGTGCACTTAAAAGGCTTTAATTTTCTCAAAAAACGACAGTACACCTTATAATCCGGAGCGCCTTATATATGGATCAATTCGTTAATCGGTTGATTCATACTGGTTGCTCAAGGCGCTCTGCCAAACATGCCAAAGCTCGGTCTGCGACGGCGAGATGCTGAGCGGCGCTCAAGCGCGTGAGATATGGAGCTTGTTTCAGGGGGCGTCGGAGAAACAAAGCTGTTGTTCCTGCCGAGCATTTAATGAGATTAAAGAGCGAGAGACGGTGCCCTTTTCTCTACAGTAGCTGAACTATCTTAACGGGGAAAATAAGTTATTCTAAAAGCAGCCGAAGATTTAAGGCGTGGATGGCGAGGGGGGCGGCGGTGTAACAAATGTCCTGTTCAATGATTTTACACCGGTATCGAGTAACATTTTATTTATTTTTTATTTTATGGATCAGATTGTTTCGATTAGATTGAGAGCTTGTTCGGTGTTTGTGCAGAGCCAAATGATTTATTCACAACTCACAATTAAAACTAATCTTGATTCGTTAGAGGTGAGATTTCATGTAGAAAGTCAAAATCCCTCATTAATTGTGAAATGTTTTTAACTGTTTGGGGATCTCCCTGCGCACTTTAAACGCATGTACCATGGATTCATTACTGTGAAACAATATAACAATGTTCAATAAGGTGACATTACTACGAATGAGTAGTAGTTGCTCATGTATAATGCTGTACGTTTTATTATTGAGTGCAAATAATGAGAGAATGTTGGCAAGTTATGGAGATTTCCCTATTAGAGAGGTATGTATGAAATGAAAAAGCTTCCAAAACCAAGTGCAGTTCTAAAACACACTTTAACAGCTTAAATAACAAATAATAACAGACTATAACAACTGTAAATAAAACAACCCTAAATAATTTCCCCCCGCTATGAGCACTTTGGACCTCCTCCCTCCACTTCTCCACAGTATTGCCCCCGACAGCAGCAGAGTAGGCTACACCGTAGAGCCGATTGTGGCCACTTTCTAATTTTTTGGGCTGGCCACACTTGGAGCAGGTGTACTGCTGACGGGGATTTTTGGGTGGCAACACCTGACCTGCAGCAGCCGCTGCCTCGGCCGCCTTCCTCTTCCTCCAGACAGTGGTCCTACATTCTCTGGGAAGTTGAGGAGGTGGACCGGCAGGACCAGGGAAGACACCCAGGGGCAGTGGAGGAAGGCCGCTGGACGAGGGTCCAGGTCTTTCCTCGTCTGGAGGAGCAGAAGGCCCTGGCTGCTCCCCATCTGGCGGAGGAGGAGGAGCAGGAGGAAGGCCGCCGGATGAGGGTCCTGGCTTCTCATCCGGCACGTCATACTGGAAAGGCTGTCCTTGTCCCACCTGAACAAAGGACAGCCCTTTGACGGGAAGGAGGGGCTCAGCTGCGACACCTGCAGGGATGACGGCAGCTCCCTGCTGCAGCACAGCCGAGACCAACCCCCTCTGCTTGCGAGAGAACCTGGGAGACAAACACAGAATGTCGTCAGGCTCTTCGTCCATCGATTGCAGACCAGAACCCGTCAAAGCAGCTTCACGTTAAACTCACCACTGGGTCAGGGTCCTGTGGTTCAGCTCAAAGAGCTGGATGTCCGTCCGAGCCATGAGCCTCGGGGCTGAGCCGGGGCCTGTGGACCCCGCCGACCTGCTTAGCCGCCGGGTGGAGCTTGCAGAGCAGGGTGCAAATGGCCTCCACCAGGCGACTGGCCAAGGTTGAAGGCCCCGAGTTGACCCCGAGGAGGCAGCTGAAAGAGTCACAAGGAGCAGAGTGTGGGTCAGTACACAGCAGATGAGTACCAGAGGAAAGATTCCTGCTCTAAAGGAGTCTCACCGTTGGAGACACTCCTTTCCAGCACAGGAGGTGTTCTTCCCCTTCGCTGCCTTGAACCGCCCCTTTGGTTGCCTCTCCCGGTATCTGGGAGGGTAGTCGACTCGCCGCTTGGCCTGCTCCGCCAAGCGAGTCCAAAGCAGGATGAGTCTGTCTACCCTACTCTCAGACAGCCCCAGAAGGTTCCTCCCTTCCACCAGCGCTTGGGCCAGCTTCAGGACGTGCCGGTACCCGGGCTGGCCATCAGGACCCTGGATGTCCTCCTGAGAAGAAACGAGGAGGAACAAAGCCCGTAAGCAAATAGTGCTGTAAGAGATTCTATCTCACAATCATCAGTATGTGAAGTTACTTCAGAGTCTGAGGAGGGCTGCTGGGGATCAGGGTCCTGAACCTCTGGGGCCTCGGGAGGGGCAACTTGACCTGAACGGGATGGCTCAGACGGTGCGTCAGCTGGATCACCTGACCGGGCTGCTACCGCGCTGGAGGACGGAGTATCGGGCCCGAAGACGGTACGGTCCGCTACGTCTTCCTCGATGCCCTCATCCTCCTCCAGCGCCTCGATGGCAGGAGCCTCGTCCGGAGTGTCAGGGTACAGGCTGACGTCCTCAAGCCGGTCTGCTGGTACAGGTACTCCACTCCGATGAGCTCCCCTGTCACACAGAAGGATTCAGTAGCAGCTCGCTTTGCTGTCAGTTATGAGATGAGGTGTTTTCACATCGCATACCTGTGTACTCAGCCGGCTCGGTGAAGTCCTTAATCACCTGAAAACCAAGCACTCTTTGGCTCTTCTGGTTAAGGACGTGCTTGAGGTGGCCACTGTAGGAGTGCAGAGGTCTCAGCCGGTGGTGGTGTAGCTGCCGCTGCGCGGTCCTTGTTCCACCTCACCAGTCCATCCACCAGGAACGCCTGGAAGTGCTTGGCGCTGGCCCGGGTTCCTGGGAAAGGGGGGGTTTCGGATCAGACACGAGTTTGCATTTTCTTCAAGTTTAAATAGAGACTACATTTTGTCACGAGCCGCGAGACACACGCCGGTACCTGAGATGAACCGGTTATGGTGGAGGTGGAAGGACTCCAGAGAGGTGGAGCCCTTTGCGCAGCAATATACGGGCAGGCTGACTCCTCCCTTGGTCAGCCGGCCCGTCTGGGTGTACAGCTGCACACCTGGCGGGTCCTGGATGCAGCGGAGGTGGGTCCTCTGCGTACTCCATATTTCCTGGATGCGGAGAGCGTTGAGCAACGGGATGCCCAGGTTGTTGCGTCCTGCCGGTCCACCGAAGGTGTCGAGGAGCTTCTGGATGAGGAGGGCCGATTTCTCAGGCCCGCGTGTCCTGCGGCGGACGTGGAGCCTCCACTCCTCCCTGGAGATCCTCTGGATCACCGCGGCGTTGGTCAGTCCAACTGTCCCGTGCTTCCCCCCTGGGAAGCGCTGGGACCGCTTAGCCTCTGCAATACGGCGTGCATCTCTGGCGTCCACCTCAAAGATGCAGTGAGACAGCTGCCTCATGAAGGTGGGGTACAGCTCGTGGCTCTCGGTGTTGACACCTGATGCGAAGCGTCGCATCAGTCCATGTCCAGATGTCCAGTCTCACCACGAGATTCTCCCACTCTGGAGCAGCATAACTATCAACAGTGTCCTTTTCACACCTGAAACAAGGCAGCTGTCTTTGACACGCCGTCTCTGTTAAAGCAGTCGCGGTTCACGTAGATCAGCTGGGGGGGAGGTACCCCGGCGAGTCGGTACCGCCTCATCAACCCGGCCGCCATCCCGGACAGGAAACACACAGCAGCTGGAAGGAAAAGAAACTGACAGACTGCACTCGCCTTCTTGGTGGAATCCATCTTTTAGATGGACCCGAAGGTGGACGTGATCCTGGCCTTGTACTCATCCAGCCGTGCCAGGACGTCGTAGCTGTACGCGGTCAGCAGCCAGACGGGGGATGGAAGAGGGGGCATCTGGGGCAGAGGTGGAATCTGCCCCCTTGCCGAGCACAAGGCCAGGAATGGCTCGCACACGTCGAGGTACTGGATCGCTCTCCGCATCCAGGCGTCCGAGTGCTGCTCCCGCAGGGTGTTGTACAGCTGGTTGGCACTGTTGCCCAGAGTGCGGGACCTCAGCTGTATCACCACCCTCATGTCACAGGACAGCCTGCAGAACACCAACATCACGCAGAGCCGAGTCTGCACCTCCAACGGGACGTTCAACACAGACAAATGGTGAAGAAATGCATCCTTACTTGTACGTGAGTACAGCTGGGAACAGGCAGCTGTGGGTGGGAGACAGCTGCCTGATGATGCCCTGTGACCACCCCCCGACGTTCTTCTTACATCGACGGCACTCCAGGTACTCAGTGGCCATGAGCTACCAGCCGTCGATGTCCAGGACCCTCCGGATGGTCCTGTACAGCCCAGCCTTCATCAAGGACCCAGAGCACGAAGGCTGGGGGCATGTCAGCTGCAGACGCCAAAGCTGGTGTGGCATCCAGAGGAACAGCCGACATGCGAAGAAGGGGTCGGGGGATGCGGGAGGCTGGTTGTAGACCGGCCGGGGTTGGGGGGGGGGGCGCCACCGGAGGTTGAGCTCGCCCGCGAGCCGAGGCCTCCCCTGGCTGTACCTGGTAAACAGCACCCGGCCGATCCACTACTGCTGCTCCACAGTGAGAGCTGCCCTCCAGGACTGAGGCAGCAACTGGTGAGACGACAACACACACATAAAACCATTTTAATATCTACAGTCAGCAGGGACACCTGCGGCCTCACGTGTTAGAGAGACTGCCTCACCTCACTGACAGAAGAGGAGGGAGGAAGGGAGGAAGCCTGGACCGGGCAAATCCTCCCGTTCCTCCACGGCGACGGGTGCAGACCGCGCCAAGGGGGTGGCTGGAGGCGAGGGAGCCGGTGTCCCGGCAGGCTGAACCACGACGAGGGCTGCAGGAAGTTCCGCCAGAGGGTCTATCTCCTGCAAGGCTTCCAGCAAATCCTCTTCTGTGGGCTCGTTCGTCAGAGTTTTCGTCGACGAAATCAACACTGCAACAAGTAACTGTAGGTGGCTCTAGTTGGAGGCAGGGGCGTAGCTATAGGGGGCGCAGCAGGTGCAGCTGCACCTGGGCCCGTAGCCCTCGGTTCAGCGCTATACTCTCTCTCCGATATGCTTGTGTTCAACTACACGTTGTTAATAAACTAACATCAGTGTCAAATGTTATTTATACACCTTAAAAGTCAAACTTATCTCAGTCATGGTTATTATTTTTGGGAGAAAAGTAGCAATTTATACCAAAATCATATGCTTATCCTACATATATTATAGAAACTATCAAAAAACTATTTAATGAAATGAATAAGTTCTTATTTTCTTTGGTATTTTTTGTATGTCAAGTCTCTATTTGATCATGTGACGATAAAATACGCTATAGTTACACCAATTCGAAGGTCACGACAACGCAGTTCATTGAGCACAGCACAACTGAACGTGTAGCAATGCCTTTTAAGCATAAGAGTGGAAGCAGGAAAAGGCGAGAGAAAAAAGAACAAGATGAGAAGGCGGCAAAACTACCGAAATTAGGTGGGCCATGCTCACTGGCATCGGAAAAAAATCAATACATCAAATGCTTTGTAAAAAAAAGGTGTCTCTTTGGCTGCCATAGGACTGTATGAGCCCAACCAACCACGGATCGGCCTGCCACCTGCCTGCTTTCTGCTCATTGCACATCGCTGGATTCCTCCAGACGCTGCCAGCAGTGCCAATAAAATAAATATGATTAGCTTAATACACATGGTACCCATGAAATCATGTGTGGGCGCAGCCGGGCCCCCCTTTTCAAATGGTCAAGAACCACCACTGTTCCTGTACAGTCTCACTGCTGCTCCCCATACAGTTTAATGCCAGATTGCAAACTATTGTTGCTGGTGATTTCTTTACAGTTCTGAGGAGAGCTGACATATTACTGTGAATAATACTGCTGCTGTATGAGTTGTAGATGAGCTGTAGACTGTAGGCCCGGGGTCACTAAAGGGCAAGTTCGGACCTAGACCCAGAATCAAACTATAAAATTCTACTTCTGGTTTAACTGGTACAGCTTTTCAATGATTAAAAGCAGAAATGTAAAGCAAGAACCCAGTTTGATCAAAATCACATTCATTTGCTTCATGTGATGTTAATAGAGATGAGAATTGAGTTAAAATAAGAGTTTACAACAAGCATGGATATAAAGTGAGGCCCTGCACACAAATATATCTTTTTAGAAGATTATAATATCATGTATATTTTTATTTATACATTTATGTAAATAAATGATCACTTCACACATAAAGGAACTGAATTGAAAGCGGCATTTTTTGTTATATGTACTGAAATTCAGTTTTCACTCGGTTCATCTCCCTCATTTTCATAGCAGGAAAAAGGTTTTTCTCTAAGTCAAGCAGAATATTTGTGTTACACTCTACATCGTCCAATCCTGCTTACTTTACTCATGGCTGAGCCAAAAGAAACTCCTTTTGTGGATCCTCTTGAGGACCAGAAAAAGCAATTGAGCTTTTATTTGTAAATACAAATATCGTAATGTGAAACTTGTGATGACGTATTCACAATATTATATCATATTTTAATCAGAATATACTCAACAAGTCTATAGCAAATCAACTAATTCATCTATATCAACTATATCTAGTAGAAGCATGAACTATTTCCTATTGCTGTGTTCTCTATAGTGGTTATTGGCATAATACACCATTGAACTGTTTAGTGTATCAAAGATTTACTTTTTATTCAAAGAAAAACCTTGTCAAAATCGTTCTATATATATATGTTTCTCAACACCATCATGAAAATGTTACAATGTAATTTCATTCAGTATTTTATTGAATGCAGCTTGAACTCATCTCGACTATTATTAGCTCTCCTCACCGATTGAAGTACAGATGTTTTGTCTACAATCTATCAATCTCAACTTGAAAGCATCAATACCGTGTTGCATATTTTTCTACTGAATATAAGCCAATAGCAATCAGCACTAAAGTTCTCACACTAAGATTTTCATACTGTAATTAATTCATGTTTCACATTTAAGATATATTGGAACTCCCACGATAAAATGAATGCCCTTTTCGGGCCGATATATTGACTCACTTCTACTGTACCTTACTTACATGAAATCAGATCAGAAGATGCTTGCCTTGTTTTTAAGCTGTACATGTGCTTGCACTTTCTACATTGAATCAGTTCATAATAAAAGATACAAGCGGCAGGAGAACAAGAGAAAGTATCAGAGGGATAGTGTTGTACAATACAGCTGCACCAAGTTATTGTATGTCTGCCCGGGGAAACAAATTGACCTTTTGCTTTGGCCCAATAAGTTGAGGTGAAAAGGGAAATCCTGATTATTTTGCACCATGGATAAAATTCTTCTTATTGTTGTTCAGCCTAAAGGTCTAAATTTAGACCCATGCAGCGTGTCTCTAAAGCATGTTGGTCCGACAGGAACCAGGCTTCAGTATCTCAAGTGTAGCAATTACCTTAATTGATTTTCTGAACCAGGGGTAGAGAGTGGCATAGATCAGAGGGTTGAGACAGGAGTTACAATTAAACAACCATATTACAATGGTTAGAGATGAGGTTGTGTAAACGTTATTTTGGGATGTTAGAACAAAACAATAATATGGGCAAACACATATCAGAAACACAACAACAACAACACCAAGATTCCTGGCTGCTTTCATTTCAGGCTTTTTAACGGTTGCTTTTGTTGTCACAACTGCAATGTGAGACCGCATGGCACGAGCCTGATACACAGCCACCACAAATATTCTAATATATAGAATGACAATAACAGTAATGGGAAAAATGAATGTAACAATTAGATCAAGAAGACTAGTGATGTAGTTTATGTCAATGACACACTCTCCTATGCAGGAGTTATACCTGCCTGGATGTTGCAGGTTATTCTTCAGCAGCAGACTGTTCAATGAAGCAGCAAACATCCAACACAGACAAACACAGACTTGAACTCTTTTTGTTTTGATTTTGGTGAAGTAATGCAGAGGATAACAAATAGCCACATATCGATCCACTGATATGAGCACCATGGTTCCTATTGAGGCCAAAAAAAGAATGGCTGATAGAATCAACCAAAAAGAACACATGAGATCACCGAGCAACCAGCAGCCGTCTATCATTATTATTTGAAAGATCGTGTTAAGGCCCATGAAGAAATCTGAGACGGCCAGAGAGAGGAGGAGGAGGTTGGTGGGGGTCTGGAGCTGCCTGGAGGGAAACAAATATTGATATTCGGATCAATGATTATGGGATCTATCAGATATAATTACACAATACAAAAAAAATGAATTAGCAAAATCTACAAATTTGTAACACTGGTTTCCATCTACCACTTTCTCAAATAAACGAAATCTGTCTCTACTTGAAGTGGGAGATGGAAATGATGACCAGCAGGTTGAGAGCTATGGTGAGCAGAGAGATGGAGGACAACAAAATGTAAATCAACATTTCTTCTAAGTGAGGAAGAATTGTCTTTCTGCAGGAGGTGTTGAGGAGTTGTGGAAAGCAAAGCTCAGTTCCCACCAAGGTTTCCATCACCGGAGAGGAGAAGCTGCAGAACAGCTTCAGCTGACTGGCCAAAGCTTCTTGTCTTACAACTGATTTGTCTCTTTACTTTGGGTCCACCCCTCCTGCTTCATCACCTCTGCTGTTGTTTCTTTCTCCATGGAGATTGAAGAACAATAGTGCTTATCTTCCTTCCCGCTGGAGACTATCATCTATTTCGATGTTGACAGGGGCGGTTCTGCATTGAATGAGACCACCTTTGAGCACCCCCCCCCCCAAAAAAAAGTTCACAAAATTCTGCAGTTATATTTTTATTTTAACATAAGTGAGAGAATTACATTAGAAAAACACAATTAACAGAATCCAGTTACTCTTACAACAGGAAACACACATTTGCACAAAATATACAATACAAAAGAACAATATACAAATAAAATATAGAATAAATATTGTAAATAGCACAAATTCTTCATTACACAAATGTGGAAACACTAAATACAATCAAACTGTTTCACTATTGCACTAAGAACAGAAAACACAAACAATCTAAAACCTGACGTTTCTGGCCTTCCTTGATGCAAAATCATCAATAATGTCTTTGTATGAAATCTGCTCCCCTATTGAATGATTGATGCTGATGACACCAAGGCCAGTGAGCCGTTTCTGGGACATGGTTGAGCTAAGGTATGACTTGATCAACTTCAGTTTGGAAAAGCTCCTCTCTGCTTGAGCCACTGTGACTGGCAGAGTAAGTGCAATCCTGAGAGCAGTCCAAAAGTTGGGGTAGATCTCTGATAGATCCTTGTCATGCACAAAAGTGATTGGCTCAAGGAGGCTCATGGTCTTTGATGGCAGGTCAGGGAATTTCTTAATTTCCTGCACAAGCTTTCTACTGTCCAAATCAGAGTGCCCCTTAAAGTGCAGTGTGGTGCCTAGTGCCTTGCATCGCTCTGCCAGCTCTTCATCTGCAAGACTTGGGAAATGTGTCAACACCCTGAATTTATTTCCGACATTTTCTAATGTGGAAAATCTCTCCTTGATGGCTGATGTGGCTGCATCAACGACAACATTGAAGAATCCAACGTCCAACTTCTTAAGTGCATCGCTGATAGGCTCATCATGTGATTCATATGAGAAGTGGCACTTTGTAGACCTCATCCTTTTTTGTTTTAAAACAGCTTCCACATTAATTTCTTGACAAATGTCTTGTGCCGCCATCTGTGCAGTCACAAAGCCTCTTGCCCTGTAGCTCTGGAGACCTTGCTCAGTCTTCTTCAAAAGACTCACAGCCAGGTCCACATGCATATCAGGAGACTGCATGAGTTTGCTGGCATGCTGTATCGAAGATAGCATGTCATACCAAACAACTGTGCAAATGCTGAAACGGTATGACCCCACCTCCTCAGACAAAGACTGGGCCTCAGCCTTTACAGCGGGATCTTTGGTGTGGTTTCTCACCTCAATTAAAGCCTCTCTCACGGCAGCTCCGTGGTACCTCATGGGCTCAACACTTTTGACCTGCTCTCCCACCTTGTTTCTGCCCACATCTTTAAAGTGATGCTCACATGCTTCTTCAGTATGGCCCATCTTTGGGTGGAGCCTGAAAATAATGTGTATAGCTTTTGTGGGACACCAAAGTAACTGATAGCATCAACAGATCTCTTAGCAGCATCACACACAACCAAATTCAATGTATGCGCGGCGCATGGCACAAACAGAGCTCTGGCTTGAACTCCCTTATTTTTGTTTTCTCTACCCCTGGTTCAGAAAATCAATTAAGGTCATTGTTACACTTGAGATACTGAAACCTGGTTCCTGTCGGACCAACATGCTTTAGAGCAGGGGTCTCAAACTCGCGGCCCGCGGGCCAATTGCGGACCTCGGGACGATATTTTGTGGCCCCCGCCTTCATATGAAAGTGTAATGTTAGTGCGGCCCGCGAGTTCTATATTGTAGCAACGTCGCTGTTAGCAGCCACTTACAACCTCCACCCCAGCGCCGACCGTTCCGTTCGCCGGTCGGACCGTCAGTGTCATCCCCCCCGTCGGCCATAATGGTCTGGCCCTATGGCGTTATATTTGTGCCACAATCCTGAGCGTGTAATTGTAAGTTTTGAGCACAGAGAACTATGTTGTAGCAAAGAAAAACATTCCGTGCGCGCAGTTTACTCAGGTGCCCTCTCCACAAACTGGTTTTCTGCGCGCAGGCAGCGGTTGCTGCGCTCTCTCCACCTCTTCACGCTGCGCTCGCTCGACTTGCAGCAGCGTTACATTTGTGCCACAAAACCAACCAATCAGAGAATTAAAGAACACAACGCTTCCTAAAGAAGACGAAAACAAGTGATATTAGAAGTCCGACTAGCCACCATCAGACATGACCGAAGCAAATGATGAGAACAGCAAGTGTTTTAATCCAGGCCGTTAGCATTTAGCACAAATGCTGCAAACTTCAACAACTCGCTGAGCTTCCGCGATGCTGTAGGTAGTTCTACTAGCGTTGTGATTGGAGACCAACAGCCAATCACAATGGACCTTCTTTAATTCTCTGAATGGGATGGTTTTGTGGCACAAATGTAACGCTGCTGCAAGTCGAGCGAGCGCGTGAGTGAAACGTCGAGCGAGCGCAGCGTGAAGAGGTGGAGAGAGAGAGCGCAGCAACGGCTGCCTGCGCGCAGAAAACCAGTTTGTGGAGACGGCACCTGAGTAAACTGCGCGCACGGGATGTTTTTCTTTGCTACAACATAGTTCTCTGTGCTCAAAACTTACAATTACGCGCTCAGGATTGTGGCACAAATATAACGCCATATGGCCCGCGTTCGGTTGAGGTGGGCAGCATCTGGCCTGTACCTGACTTGAGTTTGAGACCCCTGCTTTAGAGACACGCTGCATGGGTGTAAATTTAGACCTTTAGCCTGAAAAGCAAATCTACACTTTTATTCATGGTGCAAATTAATCAAAATTATTCAGTGTGCCACAGTTAGCAAAATATATATATTTTCTTTCTCAGGTCCCCGGGCACACAAACAATGACTTGGAACAGCTGTATTGAACAACATTATCCCCTCTGGCATTTCCTCTTGTTACCCCACCACTTCGATCCTTCATTATGCACCTATTCAGTGTGGAAGTGCAAGCACATTTAAAAACGGGGCAAACGTCTGCAAAATGTGGATTATGTGAATAAACACATTTAATACATGATAAATATGTTGTATCTATAAACAAAAGTATCAATATTTCATTACTTAAACCTGTTAAATCTCAATTAAGGTTATTGGAATTAACCATGATTTTCTAACCAAAGATTTTAAGAAGCAACCATATCTTTATTAATTTCTGAATTGACAGACTGTGTGTGCTGTGAAAAGTCCACATTACACTTAAGTGTGTGCTGATTCGTTTTGGGTGAGAGAGTCTTCCTCTAACAAACACTCTGGCCTTCATTTTATTGTGGGTTCATTTACATTATATATTGAATGAGTTATGTGAACACAGCACTAATAATTGGAGAAATAAGTAACAGCCTTTGCAGTGAGGTCATTGCATTCTCTCTACACATGAATGTGTGTGTGTAAATGAAAAAGAGAAGGAGAGAAACTAATATTTAAGGAGGCAGATTTTGTTAGTATTACATAACTCATTGGCTCTCAAACATTTTCTGTCACAACACACTTTTGAAGAAAAATTTTACTTACAGCCTCAACAATATTGTAAATGTTGAATTTTTATTGAAATACCAGTGTGACTCCTATGTTTTTTCAAATAATGGAATATAAAAACGGTATACACTTTTAGGTATTCATTACAATTGACATTTACAAGCATATTGTTATATCAATGGAAAAGTTTTCTCTCTGCAAAAAATAATATTAGGCAGAAAATAGTTTATTTTGGATGAAATTAACCTGTTTTTAACCCATTATCTTTAGAGATAATAGGGTGCAACCGGTGAAAAATAAAACAACAAATATAAGGCAATAAAGGCTTTTACACTGCATACATTTTCACCCTGTGCAAAACATAACAAAATTAGTGCAGATATGTATGAGCCATCATATACTAATAAAACACGTTTTATCAGTAATGGTGGCTGCATAAGCCTGCTTTCCACTACAAATCTTTTCAAAACATTTTTGTAGACTTGTTACGGCCTCTCTATTCATACATTATTGAGCATGGATTGTATTTTGTATTGAGAGAGGCAACAGCAGTCTGTGTACTTTTTAAAATATGGAATGTTCCCAGTAAAGTTGAAGGCGAAATACCTAGCCCTGAGCCAGCAGTTGGCTGAGTGAACTATTGAGGCTGGACCCCCTGTCACAACATATGGGGGTAATACTTGAGCCTACCTTCTCGAAAGAGAGGTTTTGGGCTATGTACAGTCACCGACCTGAAGTCTAATTACCGCAGTGTTGCCATTGCACATGTAGAGCGCAGCAGACACCTTGCGTTCTGTCTCCAAGGGAGAGTGATTCACGTCTGTCAACCTATTCTCATTTCCAGGGTGCGTCACCACAGGCAGCCCCTTTATTTACTGCCCAGAGGGCTTCCATTCTGACCCTCTCCGTGAGTACTTACAGGATGTGTTACTGCAGGGCGAAAGATACTGCTGCACTTAGACAGTTGGCTAAGGTTGCACCATGGCTAGGGCGTGGAGGGGGAGACAACAGTCTACTAGGGCGTGGTAGACTGTTGTCTCCCTCTCCACCTATTAGGTGGACTGACAACAGCCTCAGCTGTTGTTCCCTTGGTTTTGCACCCGGCTGCAAGGCCTCACTTGTATGGAGAGTCTCAGGGCAATAGTAGTATCAAAACGCTGCCTACTCACTTCATCCCCAGGGAGCCCCTGTGGCATTTTTCCTGTCACAGCTGATGCCTGCCTCCAGAGGTGATGCACAATGGTGTAGAGCAGGACTTTGCTCTGGACCACAGGGGCCTGCCAATGTTCAAGAGCTAGCGCTCTCCCGCTATACCGGGAGGGAAAGCAGGTGTTTGTCCGGTTGGACAACACCTCTGCTGTGTTATGACGACGATATCAGTTCTTACTCGGGCAGCCTTTGCCTGACCAGCTTTTGGGCAATAACCCAGCCAGGAGTGGCTACTGCATCCAGAGGTGATGCCGATCCACTGCCCCCACCGGTTCTCCCTGACTGAGAGGACCACCGCCAAGACCACAGTCAAGATGCTCTGGCTAGGCCTGTCGCGATATGCGATAAAATGACATATCGCACACTATCTGAAATCGCGTGCAATAATTTTTGGTGCTGCGATATTCATTTGACATATAAATGAACGTCACAAACATTTAAGTTGATTGCGCTGCCTTAAATGTTCTTTTGGTCTTTTATTTTTGTTATGTAAAGCAATGTGTGCATGCTCTTACCTTTACTTGTAAATTCCATTCGCCTATCCTTCTGGAAAAACATCTATGACTTTGGTGTAAAAATACTCTTTATCTTCTTTTAGTTTCTTCAGTCTCCATGTCTTAATAGACATTATTGCTCGGGGTGAAAGTCGTCTTTGATCCGATTCAGACTGTATGTTTTCAGTTTTCAAGGACTGATAATGTGCACTTGTACGTCACTAATACGTACTTCACTAATACGTGAATAAAAACCACAGCAGAAGGAGCCTGCGTGCTCACACACGCTCCCTTCAGGCAGGCAGAGGTACTGACTCTGCCTCCGCAGCAGTGACAAGCAGGAAATAAGCTGCCAGTCCAGCTGCCTCCTTACCGCTTTTTAACTGCGGAGTTATGTCTGATTAGCAAGACTAACATACGTGAAATGCAGGACCCAGACTATGGGATGTGAGGACATGTGATAAAACTGTGTACAAACTTGGTGACATGTAGAGACACTTATTGAACAAGCTCAAATTGAGCAAAAACATGAGCAGCTCAACCGGGTTTATGCGGGATTGCGCAATATGAGAGGAGGCGCAGCTCGTCGCTGCCACCTCCCTGTATTTAAACAGGAAAATACAAATTCAAAATTGACAATCATCGGATTGATTGGAATCTAATAATTACACTATTTTTTTTTACATTTCATGATGACACAAGGGCCTTCGCTGCCTCCAATGACCGCACGCAGTTTGTGATGAGGGTCTCTTATGAGATGGTAGGTGGCAGGATTATCGAGTTAACCATAAGGATTACAGGTACTTGAAACTCTGAAATCAGGCAGGGTCCAAACCAGGATATCAGTCCAACAGGCAAACAAATCCAAAAAAGGGGCACGCAAAAATCCTAAATCAAGTAGTCAGGCAAACAGGGTCAGAACAGGCAGATCAGGAACAGTCAGGTTATGCTGGAGAGCTTGGCAGTGACAGACAGAGGTGGCAGAGGTGTCAAGAAGGTGCTGGGGATGAAGGCAGGACTCAAACGCAGAGTTTTTCGAAAACAAAAAGGGACTTTCATAGAACTGCACTGGGAAGGTGCAGGTGACTGGACACAGGTGGAAATAATCAGACAATCACAGGGGATGACAGGACAAGGCAGGAAGTGAAGTTACCCAGGGACGCAAGAGGCAGAAAGCTATAAAATAAGAAAGGAAACAAACCCAAACCGTGACAGAGGACAAGTGA